TGGGGCCAGATACCTGTTGGGACAGCCCCATGGTTGCCATGGTAGACATGAAGTCCTGAGCTGCTCCCGATAAGGCGGTCTCGGCGTGGACATTGAAGTCCCCCAGCACAAGCAGCCGTTGGGACTCCAATGCCAGGTCCGAGACCACCCCCGCTAGCTCAGGCAGGGAGACTGTAGTGCAGCGAGGTGGACGGTACACTAACAGAATCCCTAATCTGTCCCGGTCACCCACCCTCAGGTGGACGCATTCAGAATTTGTTGACTGCGGGATGGGGGCCCTGGTCAGAAGAATGGAATCTCTATAGACCACTGCAACTCCGCCTCCCCGCCCTCCGGATCTCGGTTGGTGCTGCACAGAGAAACCTGGCGGGCAAAGCTGGGTCAAATTTACACCTCCCGCTTCGTCCAACCAGGTCTCCGTGATGCACGCCAGATCTGCCCGTTCATCCAGGATTAAGTCCTGGATGAAGGTTGTTTTGCCATTGACAGATCTGGCGTTCAACAGCACCACTTTCAATTCGGAGGGACCGCCATCCTGGTTACACCAACTTGTCATATCAGGAGACCGACTTGGAATTACTAATGTTGTTCCACGTTCCCTAGGCCGAATTAGAGGTCTCCTTTTCCCGTATCTCCCCCTCCCCACCACGACTTCTATGGGGGCTCCCCGGTTAACGGAAGCCTCTCCCTCCTCCATGACGCATTCAGCAGCCATAGTATCAACCCATAATTCATTGTTGACTGTTTGATATATTATAGCTTTAAATTGCCATAGTCTTGCCTTCCATTCATTTCCCGCTCCTATTATGTTATACTCGGGACTTTCTGAATTACTCCGTTCCCTCTCTCTACCATAAACAATTAGCAGCAAGATTAACAAATGCCAGGGAATGGGTAGTGACATGGATGGTAGTTGTTAAACACTGACAAAGGAGTTTCGCTAAGGGTCTTAAAGTGCAGATAAAAAATTGTGTCAGCATACACGATAGTATAAGTAATTAAAGTGCAGTAGCTTATCAATTGGTTCTAAAGTGCTAAATGAAATGCGTCATGGAGGACTCAATTTAGCCTTCTCTGCCAAAAAGTGTTGGCATCTCCCCAAACTACAAACTCCAGGACTCCATAGCATTGAGCCATGGCAGTTAAAGTTGTGTCAAACTGCCTTAATTCTACAATGTAGATGCATCCAAAGTCTCAGTAGCAGTCTAAGCCTAGCTTGAGCTGAATAAGGTAATCGCTTTATAGAGTTATTCTGGCTTTAGAGAGCAAGAAATCTCTAGACCAGTAGTTCTCAACCTGTGGGTCCCCAGGTGTTTTGGCCTACAACTCCCAGAAATCCCAGCCAGTTTACCAGCTGTTGGGATTTCTGGGAGTTGAAGGCCAAAACATCTGGGGGCCCACAGGATGAGAGCCACTGCTCTAGACGTTTCCCTCTCTTAGGTCCCTTCCACACAGCCACATAACCCAGAATATCAAGACGGATGATCCACAATATCTGCTTTGAATTGGGTTATCGGAGCCCCCAGCTACACTGCCATATAAAATCCAGAATATGTGCTTTGTACTGGGTTATATGGCAGTGTAGACAAATATAATCCAGTTCAAAAGGAGGTAATCTGGATTTTATATGGCAGTGTAGATGGGACATGAGTTCACACTGCCATATAATCCAGTCCAATGTGGATGTTATACAGATGTGTTGAAGGGGCTATAGAGAACAGAACTGCACACATTAACACCGCCCTTTCTGTCACTCCTAAACTAGCTTAGAAACTAGTAGGGAACAATGTTGGCCACGGTGGTCCACGCTCTTGTTACATCCCGAATAGACTACTGCAACGCATTCCAGGTGGGGCTGTCTTTGAAGACTGCCTGGAAGCTTCAACTAGTTCAACAGTTGGCAGCCAGGCTACTCACTGGGGTGGCATACAGGGAACATAAAACCCTTCTCTTATGCCAGTTCCACTGGCTGCCGATCAGCTTCTGAGCACAATTCAAAGTGCTGGTATTAACCTTTAAAGCCCTAAATGTTTCTGGCCCAGACTACCTGTCCGAATGTATTTCCTGTTCCGAACCATTACGAAGTTTAAGATATTCAGGAGAGGCCCTGCTCTCAATCCCACCACCACTGCAAACGCGGTTGGTGGGGATGAGAGACAGGGCCTTCTCAGCAGTGGCCCCACCTCTGTGGAACTCTCTCCCCAAGGACATCAGGCTGGCCACCTCCCTACTGTCCTTTAGAAGAAAAATGAAGACTTGGCTTTGGGATCAGATTAGTGGACTGAGGCAACTGGAAAGAAGGCTTAGGATATCGCGACATTGAATTAACCCTGACTGGATTTGGTCTTAACTGGCGTGTGTAATCTCTTGTTTAATGAATTATTATTAATTTTTAATGTACTTGTTCACTATTTTTATGATGATAGCATCATACGCTGCTTGTGTGAGCCGCCCTTAGTCACCCCGTGGAGGGAGAAGGGGGGGGGGGTAAAAATGTAATAAATCTATATAAATAAAAATGTAATATTCGTTTGTGGGATTAACAGAACTCAAAAACCACTGGACGAACTAACACCAAATTTGGACACGAGACACCTAACAACCCAATGTATGTCCTTCACTCAAAAAAATTGATTTTGCCATTTGGGAGTTGCAGTTGCTGGGATTTATAGTTCACCTACAATCAAAGAGCATTCTGAACCCCACCAACGATGGAATTGAACCAAACTTGGCACATAGAACTTCCATGACCAACAGAAAATACTGGAAGGGTTTGGTGGGCATTGACCTTGAGTTTTGGAGTTGTAGTTCACCTACATCCAGAGAGCACGGTGCACTCAGTGATGGATATGGACCAAACTTGGCACAAATATTCAATATGCCCAAATATGAACACTGGTGGATTTTGGGGAAAATAGACCTTGACATTTGGGAATTGCAGTTGCTGGGATTTATAGTTCACCTACAATCAAAGAGCATTCCGAACTCCACCAACAATTGAATTGAACCAAACTTAGTACACAGTTCTCCCATGATCAATAGAAAAACTGGAAGGGTTTGGTGGGCAGTGTCCTTTGGTTTTGGAGTTGTAGTTCACCTACATCCAGGGAGCACTGAGGACTCAAACAATGATGGATCTGGACCAAACTCTACACCAGGGCTCCTCAAAGTTTTTAAACAGAGGGCCAGGTCACAGTCCCTCAAACTGTTGGAGGGCCGGATTATAATTTGAAAAAACATGAATTCCTATGCACACTGCACATCTCTTATTTGTGGTGCAAAAAACACTTTAAAACAATACAATAATTAAAATGAAGAACTATTTTAACAAATATAAACTTATTAGTATTTCAATGGGAAGTGTGGGCCTGCTTCTGGCTGATGAGATAGGATTGTTGTTGTTGTGTGCTTTCAAGTCTTTTCAGACTTAGGTTGACCCTGAGCGAGGGCCGGGTAAATGACCTTGGAGGGCCATATCCGGCACCCGGGCCTTAGTTTGAGGACCCCTGCTCTACACGAATACTCAATATACCCAAATGTGAACACTGGTGGAGTTTGGGGAAAATAGAATCTTGACATTTGGGTGTTGTAGTTTCTGGGATTTATAGTTCACCTACAATCACAGAGCATCCTGAACCCCACCAATGATAGAATTGGGCCAAACCTCCGACACAGAACCCCCATGCGGGCCACAGCAACGCATGGCAGGGGACGGCTAGTAAGTAAATAAATATTAACTTATTGCCAGAGTTCAAATTAAAATCACATCCCAGTCAAATGAACCTGTGTATGGCCTGGGATTGTGGGTTGGGTCCCTTTTGACCTGTGCTTCAAGCAAAAAAAATGCTTTGGGTTGTCCCCTGCCATGATGACTTGTAAAACTGGAATTATTTTGGGAAACATGTAGAGCACAATTCACACAATGAGCATGACGAGGCAGCGCTGCATGTGAACCAGCTTCACAGATTCTGTGCATCCATGTCAGCCTGCTGGATCTTGAAGCTGGGGGTGCAAGTGAGAGAGGAAACGGTGCCACGCAGACTAGCAAAACAACAATAGCCATTCCCATATCTTATTACAGTTTTCACTTGTTTATTGACACACATTGGGGAGAGGAGGGGAATCACGAAGGAAACAACCCCTCTCTCCCTCAGTCCCCACAAGAACCACACACAAAATTTCCAGCTCTGAGCAGTACAGCAAAGCAAATGTTCAGTCTGATAGGAGGGCAGGGTCAGGTGGCAGAGGGTACCAAGTCGAAGGAGAGAGGTTGGCTGACCTCTCCACACTTCCTAGCCATGATCCTTTCTGGGGACATAGGGGTTGGCCCACCTTTTTCTAGGGTACTTCTGGGCTCCGTTCGAGGAACCAAATCTTTTTCGGACTAGGTCACAAAGCAAGTTCTCCTCTACTACAAGGATCAGAGTACAGTCAGTGAAAACTCCAACATTCATGTAGCCCTGACTTATCCTGAAGCCTGTATCTTGTCATGACATGATCCAGTTGGCTTTCTCCTTCCCTCAAATTCCATCTATGCTTGGTCCAACTCAATTTCACAGAAACACCAAACCAACCAAAGGTGAAGACAGATGTAGTATTCTATCAGAAGTTCTTGTCAGCGAACATAAGGATGGCCTCTGCTTCACGGCATACCAAAACATCAAATGTTGGTTGGAAAGGGCCGAGGAGATGGTTTGATCCACAATCTTGCCTAATACTAAGGGCCTGAAGCAGACATGTAGCCGGGGGGGGGGGGGGGGGGGCTTGAGGGGCTTCAGCCCCCCCCCCCGAAATTCTCATGGTGGTTCGCAAAAAGGCCTTACTGGTGCATTATTTAAACTGTTATGTTTATTCATATCATGATCTGATCACCATACTCAATATATCCCATATGCATGGGGGTATTGGGGTAATGATACAAAAGGTTTGCTAGGCTAGACCCTCTTTCACTCAGACTCCCCCCCCCCCCCCGAAACTCAGCCCCCCGACCCCCCCCCCCCCTCCCCGAAACGAAATCCTGGCTACGGGCCTGGCCTGAAGTCAATCTTATTTTTTTAAAAAAATCTGCTATTTTTGAAAGAAAATCTATGTTTTTATATTTAGCTATCCTTTTTTTCTGCCTCTACAGAGTATACAATACAACAAAACACCCCAGAAACATAGAACCTCAAAGACATTTTAACAATGACTGCAACCAAATGGCTGCAGTGGATGGAGGAAGAAAAATAAGTATTGTTAAGTACTGGCCGGTAAGTGCTTCCCTGGTTCGTAGTGAAGAACCGCACACCTACCCTGCCCTCCAGGCACAGAAATGTACATTCATTTGGAGAGCAGGAACAGGACTATCAAATCACACCCCCACTCTTCAAATCTTGCATCTGTCTCAACCTCTGGGAAGTTTGGTGCAATCTTCCCAAAATACAAATTCTGATGTCTCCAAGATGGCCACCCAACTGGATCTTCTGACTCACTTGGGTGTTGCTATCCATTTCTGAATTTTGGGATTTATCAAGCCTATTCAAGCTGATGGCTGCCCTCTTCCTGGTTTCATCTTCCCCGTGTCTTTATTTGGAAGGATCTTTCAACTCCGGATCTCAGTTACCATTTTGTGACTCTTTTGGGAGAAGAAAGTCTCAAATAGATTTAAGAATTGCCAATTAAAACCGAAAGGGGAAGGAGAAGATGTTTTCACCTCCCCATCCCTACCACCACTACCATGTCTCCCAGTTTTCCAGCACATTACAAGCCTCTGCAACAGACATAGATGGATGTGAGGTGAGTTAACGCAGCAGGATTGTGATGGGTCCACAGCCTCACAGGGGATTGGACTTCGGTCCCAGGTAGGGTGACTCTGAGCCCCCCTAAGGGCAGGCTGGAACGGTGGTTGAGCTTGGCTGTTGTTTTTAAACTCCTGGGCCCCTCAGGGCAGAGATATCCCCAGACGAGGGTGCAGGAAATGGAAGGACAGCCCCCACCCCTTGGGCGAGGGTGCTGGCGCAGCGTCGTGGCTGTGAAGCCGCATGCAGGAGGGTAGCTCATGCAAAGGGCAGCGGCCCAGGCTCTTCAGGCACCTGCGGACAGCAAGAGACAGGTTAAAGAGAGAAAGCTGCTATGGAAACCAGACTCCATCCTCACTTCAATCAAATTCCCATTCCAAGCCACCCTCACCCTAATGCAGTCCACAGACCCATCACATCTTTTTATCCTAGTGCCAAATGCCCTACACATTCCTATATCACAGTCTTTCCCAACATGACACCTTACAGATGCACATGGACTATAACCCCCATCTTACTAATCAGGATGCCTAAGGAATAATAATAACAATAATAATAATAATAATAATAATAATAATAATAATCTATATAAATAAAAATCTAATGTCCGTTTGTGGGATTACCACAACTCAAAAACCACTGGACAAATTGACACCAAATTGGGACACAAGACACCTAACAACCCAATGTATGTCCTTCACTCAAAAAAAATGATTTTGTCATTTGGGAGTTGTAGTTGCTGGGATTTATAGTTTGCCTACAATCAAAGAAATTCTGAACCCCACCAACGATGGAATTGAACCAAACTTGTGGACTCAAACAATGATGGATCTGGACCAAACTCTACAAGAATACTCAATATGCCCAAATGTGAACACTGGTGGAGTTTGGGGAAAATAGAATCTTGACATTTGGGAGTTGTAGTTGCTGGGATTTATAGTTTGCCTACAATCAAAGAACATTCTGAACCCCACCAACGATGGAATTGAACCAAACTTGGCACACAGTTCTCCCATGACCAACAGAAAATACTGGAAGGGTTTGGTGGGCAGTGTCCTTTGGTTTTAGAGTTGTAGTTCACCTACATACAAAAGACGACTGTGGACTCAAACAATGATGGATCTGGACCAAACTCTACAAGAATACTCAATATGCCCAAATGTGAACACTGGTGGAGTTTGGGGAAAATAGAATCTTGACATTTGGGAGTTGTAGTTGCTGGGATTTATAGTTCACCTACAATCACAGAGCATTCTGAACTCCACCAATGATAGCATTGGGCCAAACCTCCCACACAGAACCCCATGTGGGCCACAGCAACGCGTGGCAGGGGACGGCTAGTAATAATAATAATAATCTTTATTTATACCCCGCCACCATCTCCCCAGTGGGGAGTGGCTTACATGAGGCGAAGCCCAAACAACAAATTACAATAGAGTAAAACCGAAAACACGAACAATAAACAACATCATAATTACATAAAACATGTGAATACATAACAATATAAAATTACAATAGGCACAATCACAATGACAATGGGCGGGCTACATGTAATGATTAAAAGAAAAACTAAAACTAATTAAAAACTCGGTCGAGGTAAAAGAGAGACAGATTATTTGCAGAGGAGGAGGGTTGTGGAATCAAGTGGTTGTGGTTGTGGCTCAATGCATCCAGAAAGCCCTGGACTAAGGAAGGCCGATGGATGATCAAAAAAGTCTGTTTACTATGCTTTTTATAGTATACTACTTGTATACTATACCAAGAGAGGGGGAAAGAAGTGTCGGGGGTTATAAAAACATTGAAGTCTGGGTCGGATTCATGTCCTGGAGTGTGACTACCAGCTGAATAGCAATTGCCTGTTTTAGCAGAACTGGGGAATGTGATTGAATTCCCATCAGTGTTAGCTGGTATAGCAAGGTGAAATAAGGAATGGCAGTAAATAGGAGCAGCGGTCCAGTTGAGGTCACTTTTCCCAGCTCTACCGCATTGGGTCTCCCATACAGTGTTTCCATTTCTGCTGCTTCCATAATATAATAATAATAATAATAATAATAATAATTTATTTATACCCCACCACCATCTCCCCAAGGGGACTTGGGGCGGCTTACATGAGGCCAAGCCCAACAACACATCAATAAAACAACAAAGCTGTAAGCAAATAAAACAATACAGTTAATATAACTCACATATAAGAAATAACACACACAAAAAAAAATTAAAAACCTATAGCCAGGCCAGATGTAATAGATTAAAATTTTAAAATAAACATTGGGCGTGAACAGAGGTAGGATGTGTCTAAGAAGGAGGGTTTTAAAGTAAAGTGTAGGGAGAGCAACCCAATGGGTAGTTAAAGTGCTTCTGAGGACATTTTGCAGGGAACTGGTCAGAGCAGGGCATTGTTTCCTTTATTCAGGGAAGGCACACTTGAACAGCCACATTTTCAAGCTCCTCCTAAAGACTGCCAATGTGGGGGCTTGCCTGATATTCTTGGGGAGTGAGTTCCAGAGTCGAGGGGCCACCATAAAGAAGGCCCTCTCCCTCATCCCCATCAATTGCGCCTGCGAAGGGGATGGGAGCGAGAGCAGGGCCTCTAAGAGATCATGTGGGTTTGTACACAGAAATGTGGCCATGCAAGTAGGCGGGTCCCAAACCCAGGCTAAAACTACATCACCTGGAGCCACAAACTGCAGCAGGAAATGGAAGAAAACTATCTAGTGATACGGGGTACATCTGAGAATACTGTCAACAAGATGACCCAGCATAATAATAATAATAATAATAATAATAATAATAATAATAATAATAATCTTTATTTATACCCCGCCACCATCTCCCCAAGGGGACTCAAGGTGGCTTATATAAGGCCAAGTCCAACAATACAATACAACAAATACAACAGAACACAGCAAAAATAAAATAAAATATAAGCTGGGTACTACCAGCCCAGTCAATGTAGCCATCAACAGCAGTTTATGCTGTAGTAGACTCTGCTCTCCACTCAAGTCATGCACTGACATGTGCACACTGTGCAATTGACCCATGGGACTGCAATCATGCAAGTAGCCAGAGGTTTCCTCCATCTAAACTGAGAGAAGGTGAACCATGCAGAAGTTTCCCTGCTTCTTAAGAAACTTGGAAGGCTGTATACATAATCGCACCAGCATAAGCTGTATGCAAGTTGGAAAACACAATGATTAGAGAAAACATATATTATTAGGAATTATAACTTAAGAGTCAATTTTTTCTAGCTTTTTTTAAAGTTAAAATGATGAGGCATTTGTTCAAGACCTGTTTTTAATTTGTCTCTGGCCAGGACATGAGAAGAAGAATGTGAAGTCAGGGTAAAAATAAATCTCTGCCTTGAAGAAATGGCTGGGCTGCCCTCTCGCATAGTTTCCAACTCTGTGCTGTCAACAGAAAATGTCACAATCCATCTCTGAAACTGGGGGAAGCTCCATCTGCTTTCTACAAAACACATTGCTATTTAAGATGTACGCACAATCCTATTCTCCAAGATCCCATCATCTCCTTTGCACTCACCTCACTGGTCACCATTTCCCGTGCTGTCCTCCGGACGTGGCCTCTCCAATTTCCTCACCCTCTGCACCAGGTCCCATCTTGGTGATGTGGCGCAAAAAAGACGTGGCATTGATTGCTCTCTGCGGGAAGATAAACACACACCAGGATTGTCAAAGAGGCACAAATAGCCCACCTTATTCTTTTTGTACAGCTTTTATTGGCAAAAATCAACAGAAAATGTTTTGAGGCAAAGGTAAGTGTTCTCCTTTGCTAAATCCTTCTACTGTAAATGCCTAAGGATGTTACCCTCCCAGCTGGGAACCAAACTGAATTGAAACACATTTTGCACTTTCCAGTGGGCCCTATTTAGGAACAATTGCACATTTCCTGATCCTTTCACACTCAGCACCCAATCTCTCAGCCATTAAACTGTTTTTAAAATATGCACTGTGATTGTAATTGTTTTTCTGATGTTGTTGATTTTATTTTATTTTATTGTGTGTGTTTTAATCTGTATTTTTGGGCCTATCCCCTTGTAAGCTGCCCTGAGTCCCTTTGGGGAGATGGTGGCAGGGTGCTCTTCCAGCAGTCACCAGCCAATCCCTTTCCAACGCCAGAAATACAGCTGAATGGTGTAACATTAGAAAATGTTGACTGCTACCTTGACAGCCACCTCTCCACCAAAGTCAACATCGACACCGAAATACGACACTGCCTGAGCCCTGCGAATGCAGCATTTTTCTAAATGAAGCAGAGAGTATTTGAGGACCGGGATATCCGTATAGATGCCAAGGTGCTTGTTTATAAAGCTACTAGCTGTCCCCTGCCATGCATTGCTATGGCCCAGTCTGCTGATCTGTAAAATAAAGTAATGAGAAAGTGTTGGTTTCTAATATATGTAATTTATTTATGCTTGTGGATAAATAGCATTTCTTGTTGTTTCTTCGTCAGTGTTGATGTGGAGATGGTGTGGTTTGCCTACTCTGGAACATGCAAAATATAATTGTCCTTCTTTAGGGGTCCCTTTCAAATCTAGGATACTATATCTATGTGTGTGTGAATCACCTATCTATATGTATGGCTGGATGGCTCTTTGTCAGGAGGGCTTTGATTATGTTTTCTTGCCCTGGTGAAGGGAGTGGGACTGGATGGCCTTGAGTATTTTCTGTTGTTCATGGGGGTTCTGTGTGGGAAGTTTGCCCCAACTCTGTCGTTCGTGGGGTTCAGAATGCTCTTTGATGGTAGGTGAAGTGTAAATCCCCGTAACTACTACCCCCAAATGTCAAGGTCTATTTCCCCCAAACTCCATCTGTGTTTATATTTGGGCATATTGAGTATTCGTGCCATGTTTGGTCCAGATCCATCATTGTTTGAGTCCACAGTGCTCTCTAGATGTAGGTGAACTACAAGATCCCTTACCTTGCCAGCTGGGGGTGGCAGGGCCCAGGAAAAAGACAGGCTAGGTAGTTCAGCTTAGAAGGCCTGGCAGAGAGCTGCTGGAGCCATCTTAGTTTAGGGAAACTCCAGCTCAGAGAGGGGGAGTGGCCTAGGCCTGAGCCAGCCCAGCAACAGCCAGGATTGGTTTGGAAAAGAGGGGCGGAGTTAGCCAGATGGAGGGAAAGAGAACAGCCTAGTTTTGACAGTTCAGTTTTAGAAGAGAGCAGTTCTGAGTAGAGTAGAGAGCAGTTCAGTTCTGAGAGAGATTAGAGTAGGATTTGGATGTATTAGGAGTTCGTTATTAGAATAGGCAGTTTGCCTGGAGTTTGCACAGTGAAATAGGCTGTGGCAAACTGGTTACAGCTATTTTAGGGAAAAAATAGCTGGGTTTTGTGTTTAAGAAATTGTAACAAAGGAAAGAACCATTCTCTCAAGTAACCATTACGCTTCTAAGAACCAAGAACACTTTTATTTGTAACAGCCAAGCCTCTGAACCTGCATTCACTTTAATTCTGTAACTTGTAATCAATAAACTCTTTCTTGTTATTTTTAAAACTGAAGCCTGAGTCAAGTGCCATTTTTGGTTGGAGTCATTTTCTTTATTGAATCAACCTCTCCTGTTTTCCCCTCAAAGAAAGCCCTTGTTATTACATAGTATTTGGTGGAGTAAAAAAGCCTTTCAATAATTTAAACAGCCTTTTAACATTCTAATTAGCTAGAGGGTTCGTTTTTCTTCAGTTTATGGTGGCAGCGAAGGTTTTAAAGAAAGAGACATTCCCTCACACGCTATAAGAGCCAAAGTGGTGTGAACTCATTATAATTTGGGGACAGTGGTGGGATTCTTTGACCCCCCTGCCTTGATAAACCCTCTAAGTTATTATAAACTACAACTCCAAAACCCAAGGTCAATGCCCACCAAACCCTTCTAGTGTTTTCTGTTGGTCAGGGGAGTCCTGTGTGTCAAGTTTGGTTCAATTCCATCATTGGTAGAGTTCAGAATACTCTTTGATTATAGGTGAACTATAAATCCCAGTAATTACTCCCAAATGACAAAATCTTAATTTTTTGAGTGATGGTCACTCCTTGTGTAGTGAGACGTTTTGTTGCCAAATTTGGTGTGATTTCATTCATTGGTTCTTTCGTTTTTAAGGTACTCATTATGCACAGAGCAATTTTTTATATATAGATTGTCCTCCCAACCCTGCTATATGCCTGCAAAACATGGACTGTCTACAAACGTTACATGCAACTCCTGGAACGATTCCATCAGTGCTGCCTCCGGAAAATCCTGCAAATCTCTTGGGAAGACAGGCAGACAAACATCAGCATGCTGGAAGAAGCAAAGACCACCATCATTGAAGTGATGGTCCTCCGCCATCAACTCAACTGGACTGGCCATGTTGTCCGGATGCCCGACCACCATCTCCCAAAGCAGTTGCTCTATTCCGAACTCAAGAACGGAAAACGGAATGTTGGTGGGGAGGAAAAGAGATTTAAAGATGGGCTCAAAGCCAACCTTAAAAACTCTGGCATAGACACCGAGAACTGGCATAGACTCTGGCATAGACACCAAGAACTGGCAAACTCTGGCATAGACACCCTGGCCCTTGAGCACTCCAGCTGGAGGTCAGCTGTGACCAGCAGTGCTGCAGAATTTGAAGAGGCACACATGGAGGGCAAAAGAGAGAAACGTGCCAAGAGGAAGGCACATCAAGCCAACCTCGACCGAGACTGCCTTCCACCTGGAAACCGATGCCCTCACTGTGGGAGAAGATGCCGATCAAGAATAGGGCTCCACAGTCACCTACAGACCCACCAGAATACTGCCCCGGTGGCGCAGTGGGTTAAAGCCCTGTGCTGGCAGGACTGAAGACCAACAAGGTCGCAGGTTCGAATCCAGGGAGAGGCGGATGAGCTCCCTCTATCGGCTCCAGCTCCTCATGCAGGGACATGAGAGAAGCTTCCCACAAAGATGATAAAAACATCAAAATCATCCAGGCGTCCCCTGGGCAACATCCTTGCAGACGGCCAGTTCTCTCACACCAGGAGTCACTCCTGACACGACCAAAACCAGAATACTGATCCTGGAAGACTATCCTACTCAGACAACGAGGGATCGCCTAAGTAAGTAAGTAAGGAAGTAGGTAGGCGGGGTATAAATAAAGTTATTATAATTTATTATTTACAGCTTTTATATTTTATATACCTTCTCACCCCGCAGGGGACTCAGGGCGGATTACAGTGCACACATATATGGCAAACATTCAATGCCAATTTTTGACATACAAACATATACAGACATACACAGAGGCTATTTTAACTTTTCTGGCCACTGGGGAGCTGTCGCTTTCATCATCCATCTGCGACGCTGATGAAGCACTTTCGCATTCCCGCATGCTTCCCCGCTGGAATGCTTTGCTGGAGTCTTCTTTATGGCCTCATAAATCAGTTAATTTAGCCTCCCCACACTTTAAGGTGGTACCTTATTTTCCTACTTGACAGATGCAACTGTCTTTCGGGTTGCAAAGGTCGACAACAGGCTACACTCAATTGGTTCGAAACCCACTCCAACACGGGCTGGCTTCGAACTCATGACCTTTTGGTCAGAGTGATCTTAATGCAGCTGACACTCAGCCAGCTGCGCCACAATCATAATCCTCTGTTCCTTAAACTGTGTTGAAAGGCAGAGCTATAGGGAAAGGTTTCAAAGCTGATAGTTCCAAATGGGAAATTGAAAGGGGAAATTTTGTTGGACTAGGGAACCCCAAAGCAGCAAAATATCTGAATTTAGGATTGTAGGTCTACAGAAACAGAGCAGTTAAATGTTTTTGCTGGTATGGAGATGTAATAATAACAAATGATAGATCTTCAGCAGGAATGCTTTCTCATTGTGACTTGTATTAAAGATGTACAAACAGAGCCAGAAAAGGACGAGGGAAAGTTGCCAGCCTTTACCAACACTCTCCCTCTCTTCCCTTTCCATTATCCATTTGCCCAGTTTGCCTGCGAAAATGCAGGAGACAGGCTTCAATACTGCAAAACTCCTTCAAGCAGGAAATTCAGGTCGTGGGTTCAAACAAAACTGGTTTTTAGATCAGTTGGATGATGAATCCGGTCAGGTTTGAGCTTAAACCTAAAGACCTATCCAAGGTGCTGATCCTTACTCTCAAAATACCTTTCATACTAGGCATAGCCTTTTTTTATCCTTTGAACGGGAACCTTATATGGATTTGCTGCCTCACTGACAAAAAAGATCACCAAACATCGCTGGCCAGAAGTGCTGGCCAAGAAGAAAACATGGGTATTAGCAAATCTGGGAGAATGCCAAGCCTTGCAAAAGTATATATGTGTTCCCTGCCACCAACATTTTAATGTTGTAAGGAAAAGATTGCTAAATATGGAATGGAGTATTATTAAGGGGAGATCATTGAATCATAGAATCTTAGAGTTGGAAGAGACCTCGTGGGCCATCCCCTGCCAAGAAGCAGGAAAATCGCATTCAAAGCACCCCCGACAGATGGCCATCCAGCCTCTGTTTAAAATAATAATAATAATAATAATAATAATAATAATAATAATAATAATAATTTATTTGTACCCCACTACGATCTCCCCAAGGGACTCGGTGCGGCTTACATGAGGCCAAGCCCACAGCACATCAATAAACAAAAGCGATAACAAATAATCAATACAAAACAGTTAAAATAAAACTCAAAAACAAAAACATACACAATAAGCAATAAACAATAAACAATAACAATAACATACAGCATTTAAAAAACCTATGGCCGGGCCAAATGTAATAATTAAAATTTAAAATGCTGGGCATGAACAAGGTAGGGTAAAACCCTCCAAAGAAGGAGCCTCCACAACACACCAGGGCAGAGAGTTCCACTGCTGAACAGCTCTCACAGTCAGGAAGTTCTTGCTAATGTTCAGGTGGTCAGAACCCTGAAGAGGAGCACAGCAGTTCAAAAATGTAATAATACAGTCCTTGCTTGTAATAAATCACATGATGTGCCTCTGAAGAGGTAAAAATGGGTCCAGGTAAAATGGCAAGACATGGGTTAAAGTCAGGGGAGCTTTCACACAATTAAAACTTGTGCGCCAGCTGCGCCCGTACCTTGGGAAGTCTGACTGGGCCACGGTGGTCCATGCTCTGGTTACATCCTGTATAGACTACTGCAACGCTCTCTATGTGGGGTTGCCTCTGAAGACTGCCCGGAAGCTTCAACTAGTCCAACGAGTGGCAGCCAGACTACTAACAGGAACAGGGTACAGGGAGCATACTACTCCTCTGCTGCGTCAGCTCCACTGGCTGCCAATTAGCTTCCGAGCCCAATTCAAAGTGCTGATGTTGACCTATAAATCCCTAAAAGACTCCGGCCCAGTTTACCTGCCCGAATGGATTCTTCCCTATGAACCATCAAGGTTGTTAAGATCTTCTGGAGGGGCCCTGCTCTCGGTCCCACCTTCTTCTCGGTGGTGGCCCCTTGGCTCTGGAACTCTTTCCCATTGGAGATTAGATCTTCCCCTTCCCTCCTGACCTTCAGAAAGCTGGTAAAATCTTGGCTTTGGAATATAGCATTTGCAGAATGAGGATCGAGTCAATAACGGCTGCTCACACTGGCGGATGGTGATGAATTTGTGATTTTACTCTGACGACCTGGTTTTTGTAATTGTATGATATTGTATGATCTGTATTTTAATGTAATTTGTTTTAATGTATTAGGATGCTATTATGTTTACTCTGTGTATGAATTTTCTGCTGTTAGCCGGCCTGAGTCCCTCTTCAGAGGTCGAGAAGACCGGGTTATAAAAGCTCTAAATAAATAAATAGGTTTTCATTACAATTCACATAATCTCTCAACTAGCAGAGGTAGTGGTCCTATTCTGTTTGTCTAAACAGGTAATAGTTCCCAGCTCTGTTGTATATTCAGGCTCAAGCTTCATTTTGGTTATTTTTAAAATCAAGTTCACAAAAAAAAAATCTCTTCTGCATCTCAGGTTGAAAATACAGTATGCCCTCTACTTTTGTGGAAATTAAGGGCAAGAGACTCCAGCAAAAGTAGGGAAATCAATATAGATAAAAGTAAAGGTTGTCCCCTGACATTAAGTCCAGTCATGTCTGACTCTGGGGTGTGGTGCTCATCTCCATTTCTAAGCCGAAGAGCCAGCGTTGTCCGTAGACACCTCCAAGGTCATGTGGCTGGCATGACTGCATGGAGCGCCGTTACCTTCCCGCCGGAGCAGTACCTATTGATCTACTCACATTTGCATGTTTTCAAACTGCTAGGTTGGCAGAAGCTAGGGCTGACAGCACCCTAGATAGATAGATAATTAATTTTCCAATTTTGCCACGCTTTTCTAGTAATCTCCGTTCTCCCTAGCAATCCTGAAAATCTCCACTGTGACTCTTCCAGCAGATGAGTCATCAAAGTCACAAAATCTAAACCCGCAAATGTGGAAGGGGCAACTGTAAAACCTTCCTCCTTACCTTCCATTGGCTGCGAGCAAAGTTCTTCTGGATCTGTTCACAAACAGAGCCATGAATATCTTTCTCCAGTGCTGTGTCCCCAGAAATCCTGAAATGCACAAGTGGCAGAGAGAAAGCTTCCATTAGATTTCCACCCACATCTTTGGAAATGGATGTGCAATTCACACCCTGAGCATGTTTATGTGTGACCGTCTTCATGCACTTGTCTCCTACCAGCTTTTAACACTGTCTGCACAAAAGTGTGAAGGAGGTGTAAGCATAAGTAAACACAGAGGGAAGCTGTCGGAATGGCCCCTCCGTCAGCAGGCATTTTTAGTTTGGGATTTGCTGCAAATATCTAGTCAAAGATTTCATTCTGGGTAAATGAGTTTTCTGAAGCCAATTAAAACAATGAGCCATACATCTGCAGATGAGACCCATGGATTAAGCAACGCCTCACAGAAATGGGACTTGGAGGTACTGCTCTGCAGTGGCTCCAGTCCTTCCTGGAGGGTCGGTCCCAGAGGGTGTTATTGGGTGACACCTGTTCAACTCCACAACCGTTGTCTTGTGGAGTCCTTCAGGGTTCAGTATTGTCCCCAATGATGTTTAACATCTACATGAGGCCGCTGGGGGGGGGGGGGGGGATCATCCAGAGTTTCAGAGTAAGATGTTATCTGTACGCAGATGACATCCAAATCTGTCACTCCTTCCCACCTGTTACTAAGGAGGCTGTCCAGACTTTGAATCGGACTGGATGAGATCTAACAAACTGAAACTGAATCCTGACAAGACAGAGGTCCTCCTGGTCAGTCGAAAGGAATATGGTTACAGCCTGTGTTGGGTGGGGTTACACTCCCTCTGAAGACGCAGGTTCACAGCTTGGGAGTGATCCTGGATTCATCGCTGAGCCTGGAACCCCAGGTATTGGCGGTGGCCAGGGGAGTTTTTGCACCGTTAAGACTTGTGCGCTAGCTGTGCCCATACCATGGGAAGTCTGATCTGGCCACGGTGGTCCATGCTCTGGTCACATCTCGAATAGATTACTGCAATGCCCTCTATGTGGGGCTGCCTTTGAAGACAGTTCAGAAACTGCAGTTAGTCCAATGGGCGGCAGCCAGATTACTAACAGGAGCTACTACAGGGAGCATACCACCCCCTTGTTGTGTCAGCTCCACTGGCTGCCGGTCCACTTCCGAGCTCAATTCAAAGTGCTGGTTTTGGCCTATAAAGCTCTATACCAGTGCTTCTCAACCTGGGTCCCCAGATGTTTTTGGCCTTCAACTCCAAGAAATCCTAACAGCTCGTAAACTGGCTGGGATTTCTGGGAGTTGTAGGCCAGAAACATTTGGGGACTCCAGGTTGAGAACCACTGCTCTATACAGTTCTGGCCCAGCTTACTTGTCCGAACACATCTGCTTCTACGTCCCACCTCGTAACTTAAGATCATCCCAGGAAGGACCTGCTCTCACTCCCACCAACATTGCAAACGTGGCTGGCAGGGAGGAGAATCAGGGCCTTCTTGGCTGTAGCCCCCCACCTGTGGAATGTGCTTCCAAATGAAATACCATCGACCCCATCCCTCCTGGCATTCAGGAAGAAATTAAAATCTTGGTTTTGGGACCAGGCTTTCGGACAATAAACATAAAGCAGCACTTGACTGGAAATGGATTGGCAAGAAGATATATATGAGGATACAATTTTATTGTTCAATGGATTTGTTGTTTTAATGACTGTTATGATAATTGGTTATAATTAATTGCTATTGTTTTTAACTCTGTATGTATTTATGGTTTTATACTGTGTTATTGATTTGTGGCATCGAATTGCTGCCTTTGTTAGCTGCTCTGAGTCCACACACACACACCCCGGGGGGGGGGGGGTGAGAAGGGCAGGGTAAAAATGCTGTAAATAAATAAATAAATAAATAAATAAATGTTGTGTGACTAGAAAATAAAGATTGGTCAGTCTCGTGTTTCATGCTTTTATAGGTCCTAAAGCAGAGACATTTTAAATAAATTATTACTTGGGCGTCCATTCTTGCATTCAAAAGGTTCGTAAACAGAAGCTTTTCCATTTCATACAATTATGACAGTCAGATTGTGCTAAAAGTTGTTCAGCTAAAGAGGAGAACATCGATACAGAACTGCAAATACATTTACAAACATCAATATCTCGGCAATGCTTAGCCTTCCTCCTGCTAAAAAAAAGACTCAAATTAAATAAGAATTCTCGTCCTCTTAGAAAAATTGGATAAAACATAAATGTAAGAGGGAAAGGAGAGGAAAGGGAAATGGAGAAGGAGAAGAAGGTGGTGGTGGTAGTAGTAGTAGTAGTAGTAGTAGTAGTAGTAGAAGCCATCTGAAGCTAAGCAGCGGAAGCCCTGATGAGTAGTTGGATGGAAGACCACCAATCCATAGAGTTGTTGTTAGTTACATTTCAGAGAAAGACACTGGTAAACCACCTCTGTGCAGTCCTTGCCTAAGAAAATTCTGTGAACTTCATGGGCTCATAGAATCATAGAATCATAGAGTTGGAAGAGACCACATGGGCCATCCAGTCCAACCCCCCACCAAGAAGCAGGAATACTGCATTCAAAGCACCCCTGACAGATGGCCATCCAGCCTCTGTTTAAAAGCCTCCAAAGAAAGAGCCTCCACCACACTCCGGGGCAGAGAGTTCCACTGCTGAACAGCTCTCACAGTCAGGAAGTTCTTCCTCATGTTCAGATGGAATCTCCTTTCTTGTAGTTTGAAGCCATTGTTCCGCGTCCTAGTATCCAAGGAAGCAGAAAACAAACTTGCTCCCTCCTCCCTGTGGCTTCCTCTCACATATTTATACATGGCTATCATGTCTCCTCTCAGCCTTCTCTTCTTTAGGCTAAACATGCCCACTTTAAGTTGTGAGGTGACTTAAAGACCCATGTATGAAGACATGTCATAGAATCATAGAGTTAGAAGAGACCTCATGGCCCATCCAGTCCAACCCCCTGCCAAGAAGCAGCAATATTGCATTCAAAGCACCCCTGACAGATGGCCACCCAGCCTCTGTTTAAAAGCTTCCAAAGAAGGAGCCTCTACACCACTCCAGGGCAGAGAGTTCCACTGCTGAACGACTCTCACAGTCAGGAAGTTCTTCCTAATGTTTAATGTCTTCTTCATATAATGAAGAAGACATTGACATAAGGGTGAAAATCCTGTGGTTCACTGATTAAAGTCTATGTGTCCATTTGTCTTCACTACAAGTCCAAACGTCATGACTTGGTGTCCAATTGGACACACAACTATTACTTTAAAAACCATGGATAGTTCGGAAACACTATTAAAATGAATGACTTCCAATCCCAGCATATCATAGAATTGCACTGGAGCATGAAGAAATTCCGAGCGCTATCTTCTCGAGGCATTTGCAGCACAGCCCCAGCTCAGGGGAATCATACAATCAGTCTGGAAAATAACACTATGTAACATGATGTTTGTTCCTGGGTTATAAATGTCATTTCATAATTGGTTCTATCATATAAACACAAAAAGGGCTTACTAAACAAAAGGTTAAAATGGCATAAAAAGGTTAAGGTAGTCCCCTGACATTAAGTCCAGTCATGTCTGACTCTGGGGTGTGGTGCTCATCTCCATTTCTAAGCTGAAGAGCCAGCGTTGTCTGTAGACACCTCCAAGGTCATGTGGCCGGCATGACTGCATGGAGCGCCGTTACCTTCCCGCTGGAGCTGTACCTATTGATCTACTCACATTTGCATGTTTTCGAACTGCTAGGTTGGCAGAAGCTAGGGCTGACAGCGGAAGCTCACACCACTCCCCGGAATCAAACCTGCGACCTTTCGATCAACAAGCTCAGCAGCTCAGTGCTTTAACCCACTGCGCGACCGGGCATATAAAAGGTTAAATGGCACATTGATATGTTTAAAATGGCAGCCACAGAAACAAAGTTTCTGGAGGATAACAAGTACTTTCAAAGTAAGTATTGCACAATTAAACAGGAAAGAACACTTTCAAACCAGGAACATTTTCCCCCTAGAGCAGTGGTTCTCGACCTGTGGGTCCCCAGATGTTTTGGCCTTCAACTCCCAGAAATCCTAACAGCTGCTAAACTGGCTGGGATTTCTGGGAGTTGTAGGCCAAAACACCTGGAGACCCAGAGGTTGAGAACCACTGCCCTAGAGAGATCATTTTTCCCTTGAATTCTGCAATTAGGTGGGGCTTTAATGTATTCCCATCCAACAAGAAATTACCACACCTTCCAATGTGACTTACCATGGGTGTTGTAAAGCCTGTTCACAGGTGAATCGTTTCTCTGCATCACGTTCTAGAAGATGTCGGATAAAATCCTTGGCTAGACAGAAACAAATATATATATAATAGTGATATATATCACCCATAATCCTTTGTATGAAAGAACTTAGCGAGATAAATATATGGCAACATTAAACCATAACCAGCACTGCACATGACTGAACGCACAAGCTGCTCTACTGCTTTGCTACCAAACAAGCATCTTTCAGATTTTGGGTGAAGACAGGCATACTATAAAGGCCTTGCTGAGAGCAGACCCTCAGCTGTGAGATGCAACCTGCATGACAAATGAAATTAAAATATTCATGCCAGCTAATCAAAAGCTGGCTCAGCAAGTGTGAATATATTCAATCTTCGGCTAAATTATTAGGGAAGCGAAGTTAATGTTCTTGTGATCAGGAAGGATTTTCAAGGCTGACACAGTGTGTTATGTGTTGGACCTACAAGGCTGGTTTCAGTGCAAAATTATAGAAATCACTCCTGACCCTAAAAAGAGAAGTTGTGCTTAGACGGAATGGCAAGAAGCTCTCCCGGCGCATAGAAATAATGTGCCAGTAAAGCAGGGGGGGGCACTTTCCTCCACCATCAACACCCCTCCGCCGCCCCGCCCCCCACCCCCGCTCTCCTGGTGCGTCATTTCTACACGCCAGAAGAGCTCTGGCAAGACTGTAATGGAGGCTGAGTAAGTTTTCCTTACTTTTAAAAGAAGTTTGGGGTATGTCAGGATTATTTTAGTTATGTATGTGTTTTAAATGTGCTTCTATGTATTGCAAAGATGGATGCCACTGTCTATTGAGGGGAGGGTCTCCTGATGTCTTGCAAGGTGTAGTGAATTCCCTACCAGTCCATTTTGTCACTCATTTCCTGGAGGAGGCGTGTTAAGTAAGAGCAGCTTTTGGAGGGGAATGAGAGAGGAATGTGACTGGCTAAGTTAGAGTGGGCGAAGCCTAACTTGGCAAAAGGGGAAAAATATCTTTAAAGAAAGATTTTTAAATCCCTGTTAGGAGATTGAACCTGGGTGTCGAAGGGAGAGGGTGTTTGGAGATTGGAGTGGTGTAGAGGGTTAGGAAAAGTCCTGAGATTGGCAAGAGTTGCTAGCAGGGACAGCTAGTGAGGAGTTTACAGCTATTAGGAAGATAGCTGGGAAACAGAGATATAGATCCAGGTTAGGACTATCTGTGCTGTCAGAGAAACTATCCTGTCAGGATTCTTGTTTGGAGGGAGAAAGAAAGAGTTTCTTGGGTAACAAAGTCAGAACTGTTTATGTAATCGCACGCTTTCAAGACAAATCTCTGTAACGGCCAAGCTTAGTACCTGCATTGTTTCTGTTCTTGTAAATAAACTTCATTGTTTATTGTTCATCACATCTGACTCAAGTGTGCCTCTGTGCTCAAAGGTTTAAAAGCAGCTTTAAGCAGAAATCAAGAACTTAATGACAGTGTATGTTGTAAAGAACTAACTTTAAAGGGTACCTCAGAAATTCAAGCCTGAGGGCTATCACCATCACACTCTTTCACAAGTTATCTCAAGTAAGCCAAGGGCTTATCAGCACTTCTAAGTTGGTGTGTGCCAATGCGCTTTCAAAAAGGAGTTTTCGGCCAGGAAGGAAGTGCTAGCTTTCTATTACAGCCTTTTGTTTGGGGGTTTATTTTATTTCCCAAACAAAGACATACTACATTTTTCATATTTTTGGTGGCAGAGCTTGTGGGATTAAATATCCCCCCCCCCAAATATTCCTCCATCTTGTTATACAGGGCCAATCCTGGAAGAACATCTAGACACGCACTTTCTGGGGTGGGTGTGGACAGGCTCCAGGAACATCCGCGTTTTTTAAACGCGAATGCTCTTGGGATAATGGCCTATCTGGAAAGGCCCATAGAAATCCTATCCAGGACAGTCAATGGCAAGCAATTGAGGGAGATTTACTACAAAACATCAGTGAGACAGTAGCAGATGTTCACCTCTTCTGGTCAGCCAACAGGCCCCTGTGACTTGCATTATCACATTCCCCAGGTAAGCAGACAATCCAAAAGATACCTGACATTGTTGTCTGGACAGCACACAACAGGGACTGGGAACCATTTGTCCTATTCAGGGCTGTATTATATTTTCTTGTGGGAAATCTGTTGAGGATTGTATGCATGGTGGATAAAACTGAGCCATAGAAGGAATTGATTTCCCTTTCTTTTCTTTTTCTCTTCCTCTCCTACTGGCTCCCATTCATTTTCATTTTCTCTCCTCTCCTTTTTGTTTTCTAATCTTCCCAGCGGAGTCCCACAGCAAGAAGAGAAATTAAAACCGATGGCTTTCAGAGGATATTAGAAGCAAGATCCATGACTTTCGGAAGTGCTCCAGCCTGGGCCCATTCTCACTGCCATGCTCTGTTGACTCTCAGAGGATGACAGCGGCCTATGGCTAAATGCCATCCATGTGACCATTTGACAGGTAAAGAACAACACAGCCAGACCAACACAGAGCACACAGAGCTGACAAAAGATCTGAGTGCACAAAGATACTCAGGCTATTATGTCTGCAACCTCATGCTACCCCAAACCCTTGAAAAAAGAAATCACCATAATTGAATCGTAACAATGACATCAGCCCCAAGGTGTTTTGTTGTTTTTCTTTAATTGGGAAAAGTTTTTTCACCCCTGGCTTTCCATCTCTCAAAGATCAGCAACTGACACTCTTTGAGTCAAACAGGGTCTCTTGCATTTTCCAGTTGCCGAATAAGAGGAAAGGAGAGAAAAACTAGAATGCTGTGTTCCCAACTTTGAAGAATGCAAGGCAATGCTTAGGATTTTTTTTAAAAAAAAACCACTGCAACTCTCACAACCTACACTGGCGGGAAGTGATAATTCCAAAAACTATTTTGTTCCAAGTACTAAGAAAAATACAGAAAGTTGCCTTACTATATCACCTAGCTCAATATTATGAACTCTAACAAGCAAAAGCCTTCTGCTGGGATTTGGAGCAGGATGCTTTCCTAGTCTTACTAGTAGATGCCGGGCATTGAGCCTTGGTACATTCCTTACCACCAGGCCATGGCTAAGGCTCTTCAGGAAAATTAATCTCTGAGCAATATCCTAATTGTTATCTCTAATAATAGGGTTCGGTTCTTGGGATGCTTCATCCAGATAAGAATGGCAACTGGGAGATCACCAACATTTAATTAGGTGATCCCTCGTAGTCCGAGGATGATGGTCCTCCAAGTTTGGTGTTCTGGCAGTGGGTCTGTAGGTGACTGTGGAGCCCTATTCTTGATCTGCATCTTCTCCCATAGTGAGGGCATCAGTTTCCAGGTGAAAAGCGGTCCTGGTCAGGGTTGGCTTGACACGCCTTCCTCTTGGCACGTTTCTCTCTTTCACCCTCCATTCATGCCTCTTCAAATTCTACAGCACTGCTAGCCACAGCTGACCTCAACTGGAGCACTCAAGAGCCAGGGTTTCCTAGTTCTCAATATCTATGCCAGAGTTTTTAAGGTTGGCTTTGAGCCCATCTTTAAATCTCTTTTCCTGCCCACCAACATTCCGCTTTCCCTTTTTGAGTTCGGAGTAGAGCAACTGCTTTGGGAGATGGTGGTTGGGCATCCAGACAATATGGCTGGTCCAGCGGAGTTGATGGTGGAGGACCATCACTTCAATGCTGGTGGTCTTTGCTTCTTCCAGCACGCTGACATTTGTCCGCTTGTCTTCCCAAGAGATTTGCAGGACTTTTCGGAGGTAGCGCTGATGGAGTCGTTCTAGGAGTTGCATGTGACGACTGTAGACAGTCCACGTCTCGCAGGTGTATAGCAGGGTTGAGAGGACAATAGCTTTATAAACAAACACCTTGGTATCCCTACGGATGTCCCGGTCCTCAAACACGCTCTGCTTCATTCAGAAAAATGCTGCACTCGCAGAGCTCAAGCGGTGTTGTATTTTAGTGTCAATGTTGACTTTTGTGGAGAGGTGGCTGCCAAGGTAGCGGAAATGGTCAATATTTTCTAAGGTTACACCATTAAATTGTATTTCTGGCAATTGAGAGTTATTGGCTGGTGACTGCTGGAAGAGCACTTTGGTTTTCTCAATGTTTAATGACAGGCCAAGCTTCAACATTTATATTAGATGCAATAAGAAGTTTCCCAGAATCTCAAAACTATAAAACAGACCCCCTGAGCAACTAAGCATTTCTATATTTCTGTATGGAATTCGCAAAGCATACCATAATAAAACACAGATTGATGACTAAGTACATCAGATTTATTGGCACATACCTATTTGGGATTGTTAAAATAATGACACAGCAGCTACAACTCTGGGACGAACACATGCCCTAACAGTTAATCCCTTATTTCCCACTTTTCTGGCTGTTCTTAAGGTGTCCTGATTTCTCTCATCTCCTCCCACTTTCCCCCTTTGCACTCACATTACTGTAGTTGCTATAAACTGAATGCAAAGTGCAAAAGTAGCTTCCACTCAATTCACTCAGGAAAAGGGAAGGTGAAAAAGTGTATACTTCCCAATAAGCTCAGGGAAAAGCAAACTGCTGCAATCTCTCCTAGATAGTGTGTTCATCCTCATTAACAGGTTTTTGCGATCTAACCACACTCTGATATTGAATGGCTTCACGTGAATAAATTTTTGTCTGTGAAATGTTGGAGAGTATTGGTTGAGAGAATGTTGTTGTTGTTCATTCGTTCAGTCATTTCCGATTCTTCGTGACCTCATGGACCAGTCCACGCCAGAGATCCCTGTCGGCTGTCACCACCCCCAGCTCCTTCAAGGTCAATCCAGTCACTTCAAGAATGCCATCCATCCATCTTGCCCTTGGCCGGCCCCTCTTCCTTTTTCCTTCCATTTTCCCCAGCATCATTGTCTTCTCTAAGCTTTCCTGTCTCTTCATGATGTGGCCAAAGTACTTCATCTTGACCTCTACTATCCTTCCCTCCAATGAGTAGTCGGGCTTTATTTCCTGAAGTGTGGACTGGTTGGATCTTCTCGCAGTCCAAGGCACTCTCAGAACTTTCCTCCAGCACCACAGTTCAAAAGCATCAATCTTCCTTCGCTCAGCCTTCCCTATGGTCCAGCTCTCACATCTGTAGGTGACTATGGGGAATACCATGGCTTTAACTATGTGGATCTTCATTGCCAGTGTGATGTCTTTACTCTTCATTCACTATTTTATCGAGGTTGGACATTGCTCTCCTCCCAAAAAGTAAGCGTCTCCTAGTTTCCTGGCTGCAGTCTCCGTCTGCAGTAATCTTTGCACCTAAAAATACAAAGTCTGTCACGGCCTCCACATTTTCTCCTTTTATTTCCCAGTTGCCAATCATTCTTGTTGCCATAATCTTGGTTTTTTTAATGTTTAGCTGCAACCCAGCTTTTGCGCTTTCTTCTTTCACCTTGATTAGAAGGCTCCTCCTCGCTTTCAGCCATCAAAGTGGTGTCATCTGCATATCTAAGGTTGTTAATGTTTCTTCCAGCAATTTTCACCCCAGCCTTGCATTCGTCAAGCCCTGCACATCGAATACCAACCAGCTATTCCTACCGTCGAGGCACAATGCCTAAACATTTCTGGTCTATATTTCCAATCAGAAACTAGAAATGAGAGGATTAAAATAAAATCGTTCAATCTACAGAAAATACTAAGGGGTGGTTCCTTACAATCAAGTCAAGAAAGCTCCAAGATAGTGCCACGTTTGATTGTTTCTGCAACATGGGTTATATAGTATCAGATTGACGCAAACATGCACACATACAATCAACCCTGTTTTTTTCCTTTCCTTTCTGCACTTTTTCCTCTCGACTCTATCCTCCAATTCAGTGGAACTGCTTTTTCACCTTGTCCCTCTTTGTTCTAAAACAAAACAATCTTTCTCAAAACAATCTTCTGCACATTTTGATCTTTTCTTCACCTTTACCCACGTCCAGGCATGTAGCCGGGGGGGGGGGGGCTAGAGGGGCTTCAGCCCCCCCTCTCACGAAATTCTCATGGTGGTCCGCGAGGAGGCCTTACTGGTACATTATTCAAACTGTTATGTTTATTCATATCATGATCTGATCACCATGCTCAATATATCCCATATGCATGGGGGTATTAGGGTAACGATACAAAAGGTTTGCTAAGGTAGACCCTCTCTCACTCAGACTCAGCCCCCCAGGTTGAGAACCACTGATTTAGGCCATTCTTTAACTTCCTCTTTCTTGTAAAAATTTACTTTGTGCATCTTAGCTCCTTCACCACAACCCCCTCCCCACCAAGAGTTTCCACTCACCTGACTCAGAGATATCATCCCAGTAGGGGGAATCAAACTCATATTCAGCTTTCAGAATCTGGTTAAAAAGTTCAGAGTCGTTCTCATCATAGAAAGGAGGGTATCCACAAAGCCTGCAGAGGAGCAGAGTGAAAGGCATCATAAGATCAATGCCCACAGAGTATAGACAACAAAACAGAAGCCACTCCTAAGGCTGCGGATGTGACAGGGAATGGAAAAGATACACACAGGATGTAGGAGATGACGCCAAGGGCCCAGGAGTCCACAGCTTTTCCATATGGCTTCTGCTCCAGGATCTCAGGGGCTGCAGAAAATATAATGGCCAAGAGTGAGGGAAAGTTCAGGGTTCTTTATTGTAAATCTCAATTTATCCCTCCTACAGGATGGTAGACCACCCTGCCCCACCAACACTACAATCCCTTGTGACGTACTGCTGGTGTCCTAGCCTTGAACTTGCCCTCAGTGTTGCAGTAATATGCCTTCTTTCCTTCAATGAGCCCAAGCAGTGGTCTGTGTGTGCTTATATATCTTACATTATATTACATGACTTCAAGTCATTTCTGACTCATGGAGATCCTAGGTTGAAGCTATCATTGGGTTTTCTGAGACTAAATGTGTGTCAGTAGCCTACGGTCACTCTGTGGGTTTTCATGGCTGAGTGGGGTTATGAACCTTGTTCTCTAGAGTTGTAATTCAATGAATGAACCATTATGCTATGCTGGCTCCATCAAGTGGTGGGACGCATACTCTATCCCTACTTCCCACTTCCACTATCAAAAACTGTGGGACATTGCCTTCTGTGAGCTTCATTCTCTCTCATATGTTTCTTGTTCCCCAAGCGCCCTGAGTATACAGTATGCTGGGTCTCGCCATGAAGCAAATTATCCTAAGAACTTGAAAGTGCCCAAGTATCAGTCTATTCTTCAAAACAAGGTGCAATCTGTTCCCATCTGAAGTGCTTCGAGGTAGATTTGCAGGAGTCCCATACAATGCAAGATTTTGCCCGTGTAATAACTGGGGGCCTTTTCACACAGCTCTATATCCCAGAATATCAAGGCAGAAAATCTCACAGCATCTACTTTAAACTGGGTTATCTGAGTCCACACTCAGATAATGTGGGATTTTCTGCCTTATATTCTGGGATATAAGGCTGTGTGGAAGGACCCTAAGATGTTCAATATATATGTTGTTGTTGTTGTTCATTCGTTCAGTCATCTCCGACTCTTCGTGACCTCATGGACCAGCCCACGCCAGAGCTCCCTGTCGGCCGTCACCACCCCCAGCTCCTTCAATATATATATATATATATATATCACATTTCATTGTGCTGCAGTTTTTACAGACAGGCTCAGCTACATCTTATTAACCCACTACTTAGCAAACTAGATCAACCCAATTCCATGTAAAGTTTTTACTAGATGACAATTTCCCCATGTGACCTTGGCTGTTGCCAAGTTTCTCTCTGAGATAGCAGGATAAGACAACTTCCTCTTTTAGACCTAGATTGAAATTTTACCCTTCTTCGTATGCATTTAGCATTGCATTCGTCCTGTTTTTAAGTGGTCTTGTCAGTTTATGATCTCGCTGGAACATCTCAGCAAGCGAGAGTCCAAAAGTGGCAGGCTCAAACCCAGAACCTCAATCAATGGCTGATTCCAAATGAGAGACTCCCTCCTGGGCACACAGAAAACTGGGCGACTTGGAAGGCGTTGAACAGACTGTGCTCTGGCACCACGAGATGCAGAGCCAACCTTAAGAAATGGGGCTACAAAGTGGAGTGTGAGAAGAGCAAACCACAGACCAACTACTGCAATGCAACCTGAGGCCTGCCACATGCACAATGAAGGACCTTCTTGTAGCAACATTAGAGGCACTCCAAGTGGCCAGATACTGGTCAAAGGACATTTAATAGAATACCAAGTTTGCAAACTTTGTGTTTTGTTTGTTTGTTTGTTTTCGGTCACTCCTGGCATGATAAATAAATAAGTAAATAAATAAATAAGTTTATGAATCTGCTGTGCACTGTCCCTGCTGAGCAAATTTGGTCTTTGGACCATAATAAAGATTGATTGATCGGTATTTCCCACTTGATCTTCACAGCAGAAATCCTGTGAGTTAGAAGAGGCTGAGAGATGGAGTGACTGGCTCAAGCTCACCCAGATAGTTTCAACACAGAACATGAACCTGAATCTCTCAAGGTTCATTTCTACACCCAGACTATGATCCCACATTCAAGGTCAGCTTCCCTTTTCATAGCTATGCTCCCAATGTATTCAGAAGGAAGTACTTTTGAGTTGTTGTTGTGCCTTCCTGTTGTTTCCAATGTATGACTTTAAGGTGGTTGAACCACGGGATTTTCTGGGACTAAGAGTGTGGGATTCACCTAAGAACATTCAGTGGGTGGAGCCCCCGGTGGCGCAGTGGGTTAAATCCCTGTGCCGGCAGGACTGAAGACCGACATGTTGCAGATTCGAATCCGGGAAGAGGCAGATGAGTTCCCTCTATCGGCTCCAGCTCCTCGTGCGGAGACATGAGAGAAGCCTCCCACAAGGATGATAAAAACATCACATCATTCGGGTGTCCCCTGAGCAACGTCCTTGCAGACGGCCAATTCTCTCACACCAGAAGCGACTTGCAGTTTCTCAGGTCGCTCCTGACATGACCAAACAAACAAACTCAGTGGGTTTCATGGCTGAACATGGAATTGAATCCTGGTCTCCACAATCACAGTCTAACATTCAAACCACTACAATGCACGTCTGCTGATCTCCTGCATTCCTGCTTTTACGTACTTAAAAAGAAGGACCTCGCCAGAAGAGGCAGGAGATATACTACAAGAGAAACACCATCCTGTGTACTCCCTTCCCCAGCCTACAATACTGTTATCCTTGTTCAAGGCCACACTCACCCACATAACCAGGTGTACCACAAGCGGTGGACATGATCCCATCAGCCTCAATCTTGGACAGTCCAAAATCTGTAATCATAATCTTGGCATCCTCAAATGGAGTGGCATAGAGGAGATTTTCAGGCTGAAGGGAGAACAAAACAGAATGAAGTTACCTGCATCACATTGATATATTTGGCTTTGGAACAGTGTACACATGGAGTCATCTCGTATCAATCTCTCCAGAAAACATGGAAGGTAGGTGAAGCTGGAAAGCAGCGAGCAAAGATTTTCAAAGGCTAATGGAGAATTTGAATCCCTCAGATCTTAGGGCCCTTCCACATAGCCATATCAAGGCGGAGAATCTACAATATCTAACTGGATTATCTGAGTCCACACTGCCATATTATCCAGTTCAATGTGGGTTTTATACAGCTGTGTGGAAGTCCACAACCTTTGTATAGTCTATCAAAAGGCATTCCCACCAAGCTTCCCATTCCATCATCTCCATAAAAATAATAGTCTCCAGTACTAATTTCTGTTGAAACTAGAAATAGAAAAAATGGAATTTTATATAATCTTTGTAACTGATATGAATAAATAGTTGCATTAAAAGGGGGGAAAGCTCTAATAAAAATCTAATGTAATAAGGACATTAAGAAAACTCCTTCCCCTTTTTCTTTATCCCCTTCCCTCTTTTTCTGCAACATACTTAATATTTGTCATGGTTTAATCTACTAACAATAACCCCCCCTTTTTGCTTTTTCTTCTTTTTTCTTCTATAAATTGATTTTTTAATAATTAAAAATTATGTTTTGGATTAAAACAGCCAAAATCTCCCACACCAACATAATCAAGATTGTGCTGGTGAGGATTCTGGAAGCTAGGATCCACGCTCTGGTTACATCCCGTATAGACTACTGCAACACTCTCTACATGGGGTTGCCCTTGAAGACGGTCCAGAAGCTTCAACTAGTCCAACGAACAGCAGCCATGTTGCTAACAGGAGCGGCACGCAGGGAACACAACCCCCTTGTTGTGCCAGCTCCACCGGCTGCCGGTCTACTACCGGGCCCAATTCAAAGTGCTGGCTTTGGCCTATAAAGCCCTAAACGGTTCTGGCCCAACTTACCTGTTCGAATGTGTCTCCCCTTACGAACCATTGAGGACTCTAAGATCGTCTGGGGAGGCCCTGCTCTCGGTCCCGCCTAAATCTCAAGTACATTCGGCAGGGACGAGACACAGGGCCTTCTCAGTGGTGGCCCCTCGGCTATGGAACACGCTCCCTAGGGAGATTAGATCTGCTCCCTCCCTCTTAACGTTTCAGAGGCAAGTTAAAACATGGCTGTTCGAGCAAGTGTTTACAAATGCAGAGTAGCTAATGTAGGAAAACGAATGATTTGACAATGGAACTGGACAATGCTTGATAATAATGAGACGCTAATGATGTTGTTTTTATTGCTTTTGTTTTAATCTGTATTATGTTTTTATATCTACTGATTTGTTGGAAACCGCCTTGAATCGCCCAGAGGGTAACTTCTGCTACTCTCTGGATTTCAAACCCACTAAATGTGGGCTACACAGTGTATTCGCTCTGCTGAGATATGAAATCAATGGCAGGTCTTTGAAGATGAAACAATTGAGTTGTGCATGCATGATTTTCAAGGAAACATGCTCAGCAAACAAGTGTGTTACTCACTACAAAAACATGTAATCATGTGAATATGACATTGGGATGGAGAGCATTTTCAAGGCAGAATTAAAAGGTGGGAGAATCAAAGGGAAGTACAGAAGTAAAGTTTTGAAAAACGAATTATGCCAATTCTAGAGGATTCTGTGAATCCTCCAAAAAGAAACCTTTCCAAACTCTGGATCCATAGGAAGCTTCCAAAACATCTGAGTATCCTCTGCAGTCTCACCTTAAGATCCCGATGAACAATGCCCAGCTCATGTAGGTAGTTCACAGCCTCCAATACCTGCCGGATGAGCTGGCTAGCATCCTTTTCTGTATAGTAGCCCCGCTCAATAATACGGTCAAAGAGCTCTCCTCCTGTCACCCTGTAGGGCAGAGAGACAATGACGTTGCATCCTGAATAATTCTCAGTACCAAGATTAATCTGATGGAAATGTACAACATCCTTTCTCAAATTCAAGAAATCCTAATATTAACTTTGTGTGGATAATGCAATTCTCAGGTTTAGTCACAAGGTGGCACTGGTCTGAGTTGGGTCTCATTACTGTTTTCCATTGCACAGAAATGGCAACATCAAATGTTCTTACCTGCTAATCACATTAGCATCATACAAAATGGCCAATGGTAAGGGATTGTGGGAGAAACGTTCCTGGTTTCCCCACCTCAGTCTAAGGCCCCATCTATGCTGCCATGTAACCCAGTTTCTGAATTCAGATGGTTTTGAACTGGGTTATATGGCAGTGTAGACTCATATAATCCAGTGCAAAGCACACAATAATCTGGATTATAAGGCAGTGTAGATCCGACCTAAGCCTTCCATAGCACCCATTAATTTCTAAAATTTACATTTTATTTTGAGAACGCTGATCTTCCTTTATACATGTCTAATTTAATCTCACTCATCATTATCTGGGATCCTAGAACAAAAAACATCCAAGAGACTGGCTATTTCCTTTCCTATCTGTCTTAAAAAGATACTAGAGATATCTGGCGTAAGTCCTTAACCCTCATTCATTGCTCAACAGGAAAAAACCTAAGTTTCTCTAAGTCAGTGGTTCTCAACCTGTGGGTCCCCAGATGTTTTGACCTCCAACTTCAAGAAATCCTAACAGCTGGTAAACTGGCTGGGATTTCTGGGATTTGTAGGCCAAAACACCTGGGGACCCACAGGTTGAGAACCACTGCTCTAAATGCTTTTGCTTCCTGAGCCCTTTCAGTCCTCTTTTGTTGTGGTGGTGGTGGTGGTGTCAGGAGCAACTTGAGAAACTGCAAGTCGCTTCTGGTGTGAGAGAATTGGCCATCTGCCAGGACGTTGCCCAGGGGACGCCTGGATGTTTTGATGTTTTACCATGCTTGTGGGAGGCTTCTCTCATGTCCCCGCATGGGGAGTCAGAGCTGACAGAGGGAGCTCATCCGTGCTCTCCCAGGATTTGAACCTGCGACCTGTTGGTCTTCAGTCCTGCCGGCACAAGAGTTTAACCAACCGTGCCACTGGGGGCTCCTAGTCCTCTTCTAACTTTAGGGTTTACCCCATGGTGCCTGTTCAAACTTTTGGCTACAGAGATATAAACTAGGGGTTAGTAACTTCTGTGAGTCACAACCCATCCTGTGAGGGCTCGAACGTGTATTAGGCTGGACCCCAAATCTGGCACATATAAGACATTACTCAGAGTTATTTGTTTAATCCTGCCTTGATGAGTTTTGCAGATCAAAACAAATCACTTTGAAGTCTCTCAAAGGAATGGAATAAGACTCAGACAGCGTGCAATATACCTCCAGCTGGCATATTTCTAATAAAATTCACTATCATTGCAAAACTGTCATTTCCTTTAAACATTAGGCATATGCGGCCCCATCACTGAATTCTTTATGTGTTTTGTTTTGCTACATCTGCAATGAATAAGATACTATAGAGATAGTGGCAAGGGTCTAAAAATCAACCAGGGGCCATCCATGACTCATGGCCAGCAGGTTGTCCATCTCCTTGTTGTCATCAGGGGCGGCTCAACCCATTACGCGAAGTAAGCATTTGCAGTATAGTTGATTTTGCCCAGGGGTGCTCTTGAGGCACTCTTGGGGGAAAACAGACCTTGACATGTGCGAGTTGTAGTTACTGGGATGTATAGTTCACCTACAATCAAAGAGCATTCTGAACTCCACCAATGATGGAATTGAATCAAATATGGCACACAGAACTCCCACGACGAACAGAAAATATATATCAGTGATTGGTTTGGGTGGGGGGGGGTGTGCCAAAATACTGTTTGCTTACAGTCGGAAATTACGTAGGGCCGCCTCTAGTTGTAATATAATGCCAATTGCATACTACCTTATTTTTATTTATCGTGTCAGAAGCAAATTAAATAAAAAATAAGGTAGTATGGAATTGGCAGACATAGTAGTTGTGCTATGAGAAAGGATCAATCACCTATCATACAATCTTGGATCAATCCTCCAACCCAGTCTGTAAAATTCCCAATGCGAGAAGCCACTACTTACAGTTGCATGGTCAGGTAAAGGTGAGTAGGACTCTCATAAATGTCCTCCAGAGCCACAATGTTCTCATGTTGAATCCTGTAATACCAGAGAGGATGACAAAAATTAAGAGATGGAGAAAGGGATGATATTTTTTAAATCCTGATTTCTGCTCTGACTGAATGTAACAAAACCTAAAGATGCATGAATGAAAATGAGAATCGGGGTACAGTCTGCCCTCCATTTCAATGGATTCTGCATCCATGGATTCAACCATTTGCAGCTTGATTTTTTTTTAATTCCAGAGAGCAACCATTGGTTTTACTATTTTATCTAGGGGATACCATTTTATTATGCTATTGTGTATAATGGGACTTGAGCATCCAAAGATTTTGGTATCCACATGGGGTCCCGGGACAAAATTTCAGTGGATACCAAGGGCCCACTGTAAAAGTTACCTCAAAGCCAACCTTAAAAACTCTGGCATAGACACTGAGAACTAGGAAGCCCTGGCCCTTGACTGCTCCAGCTGGAGGTCAGCTGTGACCAGCAGTGCTGCAGAATTCGAGGAGGCACGAGTGGAGGGTGAAAGAGAGAAACGTGCCAGGAGGAAGGCGCGTCAAGCCAACCCCGACCGGGACCGCCTTCCACCTGGAAACCAATGCCTTCACTGTGGGAGAAGATGCGGGTCAAGAATAGGGCTCCACAGCCACCTACAAACCCACAAAAATAGTCATCAAGGAAGACCATCTTACTCATCCAACGAGGGATCGCCTAAGTAAGTAAGTAAGTAAAAGTTACGCTATCATTGAGAAAGGCTCAAAATCCTGCAAGGCACCTCATTCAAAGCCAGACTAAAGGTTACTAAAGATCACAATTGTGTCAAAGCTGTAACTTGTTTGGTTTGTGTGGGAATATGACATTCAACAAAATAGGCAACTGAATCTCTGGTTCTTGTTTAGAATACAGGTTTGGCAGCAGCTAGAAAGGCAACATTTCTGGAAAAATCACACCAATTTTTTCTATTTTTTCCTTAACCTTAGGATCTTTTATAGATTCGAATTCACTTTGTTACTTTGGGAACATAACATGTATTATGTACAATTATATTGTTAAAATCAAGCTTCACAGTCTTGAATTTTAAAGAATATTTTTTGTTTTTTCATGCACAAAAAGTAGGTAAAAATCCCAAAACCGAAGAAACATTAGTAAAACAGAAGAAAATGTGTCGTTCTTAGTCCTCCTTATTGTCAAGTCCTCATGAAAAGAACTAAGAAAAGAAAACCAAGCCCAGGCATTGCAATAATAGTAAACTGTGTTGTTGTAGGTTTTTTTCAGGCTGTATGGCCATGGTCTAGAGGCATTCTCTCCTGACGTTTCGCCTGCACTTTGGCAAGCATCCTCAGAGGTAGTGAGGCGAAACGTCTTTCATGGCCAGAATCACTGGGTTGTTGTAAGTTTTTTGAGCTGTATGTCCATGTTCCAGAAGCATTATCTCCTGACGTTTCGCCTCACAAAATCAGACCTCACTACCTCTGAGGATGCTTGCCAAAGTGCAGGCGAAACATCAGGAGAGAATGCCTCTAGACCATGGCCATACAGCCCGAAAAAACCTACAACAACCCAGTGATTCCGGCCATAAAAGCCTTCGACAATACATAGTAAACTGTGTTGCTGTAGTTTTCGGGCTGTTGGTCATGTTCCAGCAGCATTCTCTCCTGACGTTTTGTCTGCATCTATGGCAGGCATCCTCAGAGGTAGTGAGGCAAAACGTCAGGAGATAATGCTTCTGGAACATGGACATACAGCTCAAAAAACTTACAACAACCCAGTGATTCCGGCCATGAAAGCCTTCGACAACACAATAGTAAACTGTACATTGCCACCTTCCTTCCTTCCGTCCTCCCTCCCTCCCTCCCTCCCTTCCTTCCTTCCTTCCTTCCTTCCACATGTTTCGTGCAAGTATTCCTGTTTCAATAGTTTTTAGGATATTTTTTGGGGGGGGGGAGGTAAATATGACACAATGACTGAAACGTTTGATTCAACACTGAAAACCATTTTTCAATTTTTTCCCAAGGAAAAAATCTTTGGAAAAAACCCACAGAGGGAAATAATTATTTCTTGTTGCACGTTTGCATATCTAAGAACAACTAGCAATACCTTTCGAGTATTGAACCAGCATTATTCCTTTTATTTACAATAGCAAAATGTGTGTGTGTGGAGGGGAGGGGAGGGGAGGTCTTAACAAGTAATGTTTGCTTTTGGTTGCCAAGCATTTAAGGTTCCATAAGGACGGAAGAAGAAAAACACACACACATCTAGAAACCCACTGACTTACTTACTTTTTAAGTACAGCAATTTCATTTTCCACAGCAGCTTCTTTGCCTCTCAGGGCTTTCTTGGGGATACATTTGAGAGCTACAAGTCGTTGGGATCCATGCTCCTGGGCCAGAACGACCTCCGAAAATGCCCCTCTGTCAGACAAAGGCATTAGGTGGGTCAAAGGTGGCAAATGTTATAAAGGAAGAAGACCCAAGTTAGGAGAGGCTGCAGCAGTTTGCTTTTGCCTGATTCAACTGCGAAGGGCAAATCTCTGGCTCCTCTCCTCCTTTTCCCCATCCTGACTTAATGGAGTACAAAACTACCGTGGCGTTTTGAACTCAGATTCAAAGAGGGAAAGAGGGATGAGATAAAAGAATCCAGAACATCTTAAAAACAGCTGAAAAAGTCAGGTAGCAGAAGATTAATTGAGTGTGTCTCTGCTAAATTGAGACAGTTGGAGGAAAACAAAAAAATAGATGTCACCACGAATAAAATTATATTATTCATGTAGTCTCTTGAGGGACCTACACTGCAGAATTAATGCATTCTGAGACCACTTTGACTTAGTTCTATGGAATAATTTTATTGTTCACTGTTTTTATGCTTTTAGATACATTGTGATGTGATTTTTTTTCTATTTTTATTGATGTATGTATTTTATATATGGCATCGAATTGTGCCGACTGTTCACCGCCCTGAGTCACCTTCGGGCTGATATTGGCGGGGTAGAAATAGCGTAAATAAATAAATAAATGTTACAGTTTTACAAGGTCTGTAGTCTTCTCTGCCAAAAAAGATGCTGCATCACACTATAAGTCCCATGGTGCCATGGCAGTTAAAGTGGCATCAAACTGCACTAATTCTACAGTCTAGATTAAGGATTCTCAAACTGTGCTCTTTGTAACATGTATACTCTCACCATCCAGACCCCTCACCCCCACACTCACTTTTTTTGCTTCCAAAACTCTATTTCCCTCCCACCGCCCAAGGAGTGCTTTGACTATGCTTTTGATTGGGTGGTAGTCCACACTCTGGTTACATCCCGTATAGACTACTGCAACGTTCTCTACGTGGGGTTGCCTTTGAAGACGGTCCAGAAGCTTCAGCTAGTCCAGCGAACAGCAGCCAGGTTGCTAACAGGAGCAACGCTCAGAGAGCATACAACCCCCTTGTTGCACCAGCTCCACTGGCTGCCAGTTTGCTACTGGGCCCTATTCAAAGTGCTGGCTTTGGCCTATAAAACCCTAAACGGTTCTGGCCCAACTTACCTGTCCGAACATGTCTCCCCTTACGAACCATCAAGGATTCTAAGATCGCCTGGGAAGGCTCTGCTCTCGGTCCCGCCTTCATCTCAAGTACGCTTGGCGGGGACGAGAGACAGGGCCTTCTCAGTAGTGGCCCCTCGGCTATGGAACACCCTCCCTAGGGAGATTAGATCTGCTCCCTACCTCTTAACATTTCGGAGGCAAGTTAAAACATGGCTGTTCGAGCAAGCATTTATAAATGCAGAGTAGCTAATATAGGAAATTGAACGATTTGACAATGGAACTAGACAATGCTTGACAATAATGAGACGCTAAGGATGTTGTTTTTATTGCTTTTGTGGTGTTTTATATTGTTTAATGTTTTAATCTATATTATGTTTTTATATGTACTGATTTGTTGGAAATTGCCTTGAGTCGCCAATTGGCTGAGAAAGGCGGTATACAAATATAGTAAATAAATAAATAAATAAATTCTTGCACAACAGAAGGTGGGTGGACTGGATGGCCTTTGAGGTTTCTGCTATTACTATTCTCATTATTGTTACAAAGGCTGGACAGCCATCTATTGGGAGTGCTTCGACTGTGCTTTTCCTGTATGGCAGAAGGGGTTTGGACTGGATGGCCCTGGGGGTCTTCAGCTTAAATACTGTTAAGTTTATGTTGGTTAGCATTGTTCTTCATTTTCAACATTGCATTGTTCTTTATTTCCCTTTTTGCACTTTGTGAATTAGTTTACACAAACACTCCCCATCCATCTGCCTATGGCCCAGCCCATGTCTGATATATATACCTTATATAAAATGTAATGTAACATAATAATATATATATAAACATTTCTTGGAGCTCCACAAAAAAAAACTTTTGCTTCAAAAAGGACTCCGCAGATGAAAAAGTTTGAGAACCCCTGGTCTAGATGCACCCTGAGAACATTTGGGCAACAAAACTGTATATAGTAACAGCCTTGCCAGCTAGTTCTTCACTATTTCATGGAATCAAGCATGAAGTTGGTTTGGTATTTTTAATGGCACTTTTTTTTTGTCGTGTCAGGAGCAACTTGAGAAATTGCAAGTTGCTTCTGGTGTGAGAGAATTGGCCAACTGCAAGGATGTTGTCCAGAGGATGCTCGGATGTTTCTGATGTTTTACCATCCTTGTGGGAGGCTTCTCTCATGTCCCCACACGAGGAGCTGGTGCTGACAGAAGGGAGCTCATCCGTGCTCTCCCTGGATTCGAACCTGCAACCTACTTCATGGAATCATGGTATTTTTAATGGCACTTTTTTTTTTGCCGTGTCAGGAGCAACTTGAGAACCTGCAAGTTGCTTCTGGTGTGAGAGAACTGGCCAACTGCAAGGACGTTGTCCAGAGGATGCTCGGGCATTTCTGATGTTTTACCATCCCTGTGGGAGGCTTCTCTCATGTCCCCACATGAGGAGCTGGAGCTGACAGAAGGGAGCTTATCCATGCTCTCCCTGGATTCGAACCTGCGACTTACTTCATGGAATCATGGTATTTTTAATGGCACTTTTTTTTTTGTCATGTCAGGAGCAACTTGAGAAACTGCAAGTTGCTTCTGATGTGAGAGAATTGGCCAACTGCAAGGACGTTGCCCAGGGGACACCTGGATGTTTCTGATGTTTTGCCATCCTTGTGGGAGGCTTCTCTCATGTCCTCACTTGATGAGCTGGTGCTGATAGAAAGGAGCTCATCCGTGCTCTCCCCGGATTTGAACCTGGCACAGGGGTTTAACCCACTGCGCCACCGGGGGATCTGATGGCACAATGGAGAACCTCTAGTGACCATTTTGAAATTGGCCACTAGAACTCCCAGGAAGCCCTCCAGTGTGGATCTACATAGGGCTGGTCACTGTGTGTTGCCTTTGGCCAACCATCCCTGTCAACAGGAGTGTCCATACTGTAGAATTAATGCGGTTTGTCACTGTCTTAACTGTCTTGGCTCAGTGCTTTGAATCTTGGGAGCTGGTCCACTATTTGGCAGAGAAAACGAAAGACCTTGCAAAGCCACAACTGCCAGTATTCCATAATGCATTCATTCCATGATGTAGATGCACTCAACATCTCCCAGAATTGTGGGACTACAACTTCCCTCATCCCCAACCAAGTCCACAACTTGGGAGCCATGGCCTAATTGAAAACATGGTTCTATCCCACCCTCTCCGTCCCATCTGCCAATTGATGTATTCGATGTAGAGAAGAGAAAGGATTTGGCATCTCGGTTTGGAAAGGGTTAACCCATGGGTTGCTCTGGCTCCAGTTCATTTCCCTGGGCTCCAGATCTATTATTGTCCCTTCTACATCAGAGATGCCTGGGAGCCTTTCTCAGCCAATGGGGAAGGCCATATGCAAAGGAAGGCAGAATTCCTGGGGTCTCTTGACTCTCTCTGCCAAAGTACTTTCTTGAGGAAGGGACCCAGCTGCTTCTTGTACATCTTAAGAGACAGACTGAGATCCGAGCACAGTCTCCAAGATGAGGCTGCTGAATGTGAGATACCATAGCCCTGGGGCAGCAGATTACAACGAGTGGGTAGTGTGAAAATCCCCGACATGTTAGCACAATGCAAAGCAAGACAAGTCACCTTTTCCAGCCTGCTTGCCTAGGGGAAAAGCATCTTTTTGCCAATGTGTTTATAATGCATGCACTGCTATACTATATTTCTTCCATTCTGAGATGCTGTTGATTGTAAGACAACCGTTAATTTCAGTTCCAACAACAATAGCAACATACATTAGATGCACCCATGATTCTGAGATGTGATTTTACTATGGTATTTTATATTGTTTATTTTATTTGTTATTTTATATATTTTCTTATGATGTATTTCTGTTGTTTTGTGTCTAATTATGTTGTATTATTTTGGGGCTTGGCCTCATGTTAGCCGCCCCGAGTCCCCTTTGGGGAGATGGTGACGGGTTATAAATAAAGATTGTTATTATTATTATTATTATTATTATTATTATTATTATTATTATTGGCACAAGCACAGTATGTCACAGCAAACAAGACCTATATGTTGGATTTTGTATCACAAAATCACAAGTCAAACACTTCCCAAGCGTCTATGACTTCTTATTATTATTATTATTATTATTATTATTATTATTATTATTATTATGTTTATAGAATTGAAGAAATACAGCTGCATTTGCCCACACTACCAAATTTGTGCTCAGGGGGCAAGGTGGGGAAAAAAAAGAATCACAGTCTCATCACATGAATGGAAATCTCTTTGAGGCTGGATCGACTCTACCGTCTGTCCCAGGATCTGATCCCAGATTATCTTCTTTGAACTGGATTATATGAGTCTACACTGCCAAATAATCTATATAAACAAAAATGTAATGTTCGTTTGTGGGATTAACAGAACCCAAAAACCACTGGATGAATTGACACCAAATTTGGACACAAGACAGCTAACAGCCCAATGTATGTTCTTCACTCAAAAAAGATTTTGTCATTTGGGAGTTGTAGTTGCTGGGATTTATAGTTCACCTACAATCAAAGAGCATTCTGAACCCCACCAATGATGGAATTGAACCAAACTTGGCACACAGTTCTCCCATGACCAACAGAAAATACTGGAAGGGTTTGGTGGGCAGTGTCCTTTGGTTTTGGAGTTGTAGTTCACCTACATCCAGAGAGCACTGTGGACTCAAACAATGATGGATCTGGACCAAACTCTACACGAATACTCAATATGCTCAAATGTGAACACTGGTGGAGTTTGGGGGAAAATAGAATCTTGACATTTGGGAGTTGTAGTTGCTGGGATTTATAGTTCACCTACAATCACAGAGCATTCTGAGCCCACCAACGATAGAATTGGGCCAAACCTCCCATACAGAACCCCCATGACCCCCAGAGTGGGCCACAGCAACGCGTGGCAGGGGACGGCTAGTCTGGGATAAGCAGATAATCTGGGATCAGATCCTGGGATATAGGATAGTGTTGAAGGGGCATGAGTTAAGCTATGCTGGTCTATTGCAAAAATCAAAAATAAACAGGTGTCCTGTGGCATTCTCAAGTCTGCAATGTTTGCCAGTCTTGAAGGTGCAACTAGGTTCTCTGCTGCTTTTCCTTCGGGTTTAAGTTGAATCTTGTAAAATTCTCAAATTTAAAATATTTGCTATTCTTTAGGATACCAAGGAATTCCGTACTGTTTTTGCTTCAGGTTTAAACTGATAACAGTTATCCATCCACATTTGCTGAGTTAGGGGCACAGGACCTTCGTAAAAGTGGGAACAATGCAATTAAAAAAAATTATCTCAACCTGAGAAAACACCTCCCTAGTCGTCTCTATGTCCTCCAGTACAACTCTATGGTCTACTTCTACTAAACATTAACCATAGAATCACACGGTCCCACAAATACCCAAAGAGGTATCTTGAGCAAAAGTTGGTAGCCAATTTGCCCCAGAAGTAACCATAGAATTAATCTGGAGGACCAACAAATACCCAGAGAAGTATTCTCTCTAGGAAAATATATGTCCTCCAGCACAACTCTATAGTAAGCATTGGTAGGAACTGATTAAACAATCACACTGGAGGACCTAGAGATTCCTAAAGAGAACATATCAATCAAAACCATGAAGATTCAAAAGTGAAACCCACACATGTGAGGGGTGACTGGATGGGAAGGGAAACTGACATATAATCCAGATTATCAAAGCAGATAATCCGCATTACCTGCTTTGAACTGGATTCTCTGAGTCTATACTGCATATAATCCAGTTCAAAGCAGATAATCAGGATTGTATACGGCAGTGTAGAAGGAGCCTGCATAGAAAGAGAGGAGACTGGCACTGGCTCCTGAAGACCATCAGCAGAAATATAGGAAGGATTAGAGCAGTGTTTCTCAACCTTCCTAATGCCGTGACCCCTTAGTACAGGTCCTCATGTTGTGGTGACCCCCAACCATAACATTATTTTCGTTGCTACTTCATAACTGTAATTTTGTAATGTAAATATCTGATATGCAGGATGTATTTTCAGTCACTGGACCAAATTTGGCACAAATACCCGATACGCCCAAAATTTGAATACTGGTGGGGTTGGGGGTGATTGATTTTGTCATTGGGTAATGCTGGAGTTGCTGGGATTTATAGTTCACCTTAAATCGAACTCCATCAATGATGGAATTGAATCAAACATGGCACACAGAATTCCCATGACCAAGAGAAAATACTGGGAAGGTCTGGTGGACATTGACCTTGAGTTTTGGAGTTGTAGTTCACCTACATCCAGAGAACACTGTGGACTCAAGCAATGATGGATCTGGATCAAACTTGGCACAAATACTCAATATGCCCAAATGCGAACACTGGTAGAGTTTGGAGAAAATAGACCTTGCCATTTTGGAGATGTAGTGATTGGGATTTATAGTTCACCCACAATAATATAGCATTCTGAACCCCATCAATGAAAGAATTGGCCCAAACTTTCCACACAGAACCCCCATGAACAACAGAAAATATTATGTTTCCTGATGGTTTTTGGCGACCCCTCTGACACCCCCCCCCCATGACCCCCACAGGGGTCCCGACCCCCAGGTTGAGAAACACTGGATTAGAGGGCAAAATCAGAGCTTGGAGAAGCTATTATTTTGGATTATAGTCTCCAGGACCTCCAATCCAGCATTCCCACTGAGAATGTTGGCTGGCAGATTTTGGAAGTTGTACTCCACAAGTGCAAGCGCCAGACGCAAACTGAGGGCAACAGGCAAGGCGTCACATGGCACCCGGTGCCACCCCACCCATCTCCTGCCAGGTCTCCCTTCACTCACGCGCCAAGCTTCTCTTTGATGTCGTAGACACTAGAAATGTCCTCCACCTTTTTCTTCCAGCCTTTCCCGAGTGGCATCGTGGACAGCTGTGAGGGGGCAGCGCAGAAAGAGCTGAAAACAGAGATGTTTGGAGGAAAAGGAGGAGGAGAAGAATGTCACACACAGAGTCACGCACGCACGCACAGAGATCACAGAAAGGGGGTCAGCCCGTTCCCACGGCTCCCTCAGCTGGAAACATCTTGGTTGCTCCTCTTGGTCGTGAGATACAGAAAACAGCTTAGGACCAGATCAAAACACTGTGGTGCTCAATGGAGAAAACTGTAAAATAATCTCCACTTCTTTGTTCCATTTGCTCGATTTTTCAAGGATTGTTTAAATCAGGGTCCCCAAATGAAGGCCCACGGGCCAGATGTGACCCTCTGAGGCCATTTACCTGGCTCCCACCCTAAACTTTATACTTAGGGAAGCCCTAAATCTAAAATAATGTGAAGGCACACAACAATCCTAATTACCGTAACCTGAAAGCAGGTCCACACTTCCCACTGAAATACTGATAAGTTTATGTTGGTTAAAATTGTTTTCATTTGAAATCTTGTATTGTTCTTTCAATGTTTTTTCACTACAATAAGATATGTGCCATGTGCATAGGAATTCATTCATTTTTTTTTTCAAACTATTGTCCGTCTATTCCCACACACACATACACACACACGTGAACTGGCCCTCTGCTTAAAAAGTTTGAGGCCCCTAGTTTAAATGAATGAGACATGAGAATTTCCAGATAATCTATATAGTTTATACATCAGATGAAAGAATTGCCCTACCCTTGGACAAGTGGGGCAACTGCCTCTAGCAACACAGATATAGTAGTCGGCAGTTTTCCCTTGCGGACACTGAAGGAATAATCCTCCTGTCAGCCCACTGAAGACCTTTCCACACAGTCATACAACCCAGAATATCAAAGCAGATAATCCACAATATCTGCTTTGAACTGGTTTATCTGAGTCCACACTGCAATATATTGCAGTTCAATGTGGATTTTATACAGCTGTGTGGAAGGGGCCTGTATCTACAGATTCTACTTCTAAGGAGTCCACCAACCACGGCCTGAAAATATTTTTTAATCCAAATGGCCAATGTTAAAGTTGCCCTTAAGGCACATTATTATACAATGTGATTATAGATATAGCATTATTACACTACCTATATAATTGCATGGATTTTAGTATCTATGTAGTGTTCTGAAATGTAGCCCCAGCAGATACCAAGCCCCAAGTACTGCACAAGATCTTCCGGGAAAGCCCTCCTTTCGCTTCCACCATCGTCACAAGCACGGCTGGTGGGGATGAGAGAGAGGGCCTTCTTGGTGGCGGCCCCCTGCCTCTGGAATGCCCTTCCTAGAGAAATAAGACAGACCCCATGTGCTGGTATGGCTGTACCAGGAGCTCCAACTTTATTTGCTTTGTATTAAATGTTTGCTTGCAGTCCAAGGTTTCAGAGATTCTGCAGAAAGGTGGCTTCCTTTGGTTGCAGTCGTAGGGCAAGTCACCTGTCCATCATCGTTAAGTTTTGGTTCCGCCCCTTGTTCAGGACAATTGGGAAGGGAAGGGAGCCATTTTTAGTTAGTCTCAGTAAGGAAAGCTAATTTAGAGGATGTGTACAAGCTTCTCCTGTACAAAAGCTTCAACCCTTAAGACTTTCTGGGGAAGAACAGTCTTAAGAGCATCCAAAGATTTCCAAAGATTGCCAGGGAAACAGCCCTAAAGCTTTGAGGAATTTCGGAGGGTAACAGTTTGGAAGACCAAAGAACTCCAGCTGGAGAATCTACTGGCCTTACTGGTAGGTCCACTCGGTGCTCGAGACGCAGTTCGACCCGGTAGAGGAGCCCACATCGGTAAGGCTTAGATTACAGTCAGCCTGGGAGAAGTTAAAAAGGGATTTTCCTTTAAAGTAAAGAAACAGTTATTGAAGACAATTGCCTGTCCCTCGTGGGCATGATTAGGAAACCACCAGTTGCATAAAGGCCTGGAAGCATTTGTTTAACTTTATTGAAGACAAGAGAAGTTTCTGTTTGATTGTTCATTAATAAAGGACTTTGTTATACTTCACAAGCCATCTAAAGACCATTTGTGGTGGAAAATCCTTGAGAACTCTCTTCGGGGGGCCCTGGCTTCCCGCTGGGCTCAAGTTGCCCGTCCTTTTTTAAAGGCAATTCTTTACAGGCCCAGCGCGTGACAGAACACCCCATCCCTCCCCTCCTTTCATAAGAGCCTGAAGACCTGGTGGTTTAAACAAGCCTTTGAGAATGACTAGTTCTAGCTCAGCCTAGATACTATTGAATATGGCCATATCTTTTTCTACCAATTACCCAGTTACTTGCTCCTATTAGGTCCCAGAAATGAACAGCCATAAACTTTACCTATTATTGTTGCTTTTTATAGCATTGCACCTAATTTCCCGGGCCCTCTACAAATTGCACTAGCCTTGGCCCGGTCTTTTAAATTGCCTTGAACAGGCAGGATTATTTTAAATATAGATGTGCTTTTGTGATTTTTTATGCTTATATTGTTTTGTTTATTTTATGTTTTTGCTGCTTATTGTGTATGCATTGATGATGTTACTTGGAAACTGCTCTGAGTCCCCTCGGGGAAATAGAGTGGTATATAAATAAAGTTTTGTTGTTGTTGTTCCACTTGCAAAAAAATGCTGTCTTGTTGTTGTTGTTTTTTAACACAGGCAGCAAAATCTCAGGAGAATTGCCCTGATCTCACCCAATAGCCTCACGCTTCACCGCATTTAGTGATGTTGCAAAATCTGTCACCTGAGGCCCAGCTTTTCAGGCAGGAAAGTCCCCAATGAGTCCCCAACAACCTTCGCTAGCTCTCTAAGTCCTTCCATGAAGTGATCGGGAAGGGAGAAGGTCACTCGGTTAAGACAAACCCTTTGGCGTGCCTGACTCTATCTCCCAAAGGTTGCTCTAGCCCATGGAGACTGTTCCCATCCTGCCACAGCAGTCTGTGACAACAATGACGGTTGGCTTTGGAGAAGATCTGTAAATAGCAGACCTAATCAAAAACCCACTGATAAGAAATGAAATGTCAGGCAGGAAGTGAAACAGGATTAACTGAACCTGAGAAGCTGTTTTTAATCCCAAGGGTTGGTTCTGGAACATAGAAATAACAGAGAATCTCCAGCAACACACAAAGTGGATTTTGTTCACTAGGGACCACAATCCACCGCAACACATCCATCAATTGAATGTCTGGGTCAAGACTCTGGTTTCTTTAGCTGTTGATATCCTCTCTGGCCATTTGAGAAGACCCAGGCAAGTCCCTATAGAGCAGAAGCAAAAATATTGCGGTCCGCTAGTTGTTGCTGAATTACAATTCCCAGCATTTCTCACCATTGTCTGCTTATCGGAACTTCTAGGAATTTTAGACTGAAAACATTTGGAAAACTGTGTGGTCCCCATTGCTGCCACAGAATAACACACATTTCTGGGATGAATGATCTCATATGACCTGAGCCCTTATCACACTAGAGAATGCTCCTTCTGGGATTTGTAGTTTAGTGGGTGTGCTGTCGCACGCTGGGCCTGTGCATGACTGTAGACAGGACATACATTCTGTGTGCCCAACGGGACGCCAGGGCTGCCTCAGATTAAAGGCCTTTGGATTTCCTTAAACAGAGTCTTTAGATTGCTTAAAGGTTCAACAAAGTTCTTTATTAATGTAAACAAACAGGTACTTTAAGGCTTTCTTAACAACCTATTGGTTCTCTCTCAATCTTGTCCACAGGGAACAGGCACTATCTTCATAAACTGCATTTTAGCTAATAGGGAAATCCTTAACTTCTAATCTGGGCAGTCTGTCTTTGCCTCTGTTGGCGTGGAGCCCTTGCATCTGGTACCAACTGCTTCTGGCTTCGGCGAGTGACCCTTACCAAGCAGAGCTTTGTAGACTTTCAGGGGAAAAGGAGTTCAAGTTTCAGTGATGGTTGACTGAAGTCCTTCCGCAAAGGAGCTGTAAGGCTGTATGATCCTCGGCCAAGCTGTGGGCTGTATAACCCCGGCCAAGCTGTAGAAGACGAAGCTTTCTACAGGAGCTCTTGGTATTATGTCCTGCATGGAAAGCTTCTCTGTGTGGACTGAACTCAAAATGGCTCCTATTCCCACCAAAACCGAAAAAGGGGGTGGGACCAGGGAACCTAACTATAATTGACAGGTGGCTTGCCCTATGATTGCAGCCAAAAGAAGCCACCTATCTGCAGAGTCTCTGAAACTTAGGACTATAACATCTCAGATAACCCAGTTCAAAGCAGATATTATAGGATTTTCTGCCTTGATATTCTAGGATATAGGGCTGTGTGGAAGGACCCTTATATAAAGCACAGGAACAGCCAGATTGACTTTCTGAAGAAGTGGTTTCTAATCTAGGAAAGCTCATGCTAAATAAATCTGTTATTCTTGAAGATGCCACAAGATGCTTTGCCAACAGAGTACTGGAGCTAACCATTCAGAAATGACTATCTGTTTGTTTGTGTTTCTGGCCAGCAGAAATGACACATAGAAGAGCGCTTCCCAGGGAGTGGGGAGAGGGAACTATTATATAAATACCGCACTTGTATTTATTCCTCTTCAGTTCTTGCAAATACCAAGGAGTGTGCATAAAAATGAGGCATTAATGTCATATATGCTCACAACAGCTACGATTGTTCTAGGTTATCTACAAGAAACAGCAAAAAGATAATCACTGATAAAAGAATGGCTGGCGGGGAGAAAGAGATTACGCATTAATGTCACAACTGATTTGCTGTTTATGCCCAAGAGATGGGGGAGGAAAGGCTTGTTAGGAAAGATGCTCTTTTTACTAATTTGTAAAATAAGAGAGGATGACTGATCAGGGTCAAATCTGTAAAGCATTTTATACCTCACTGGAGGAGGGTATTATCTTGCACAATTCTCATAGAAATGGACTGCCTGATGAACTCAAGAAATATACCCAGCCTCACCAGTCATGTTGGGAAAATGGCCTGTAGTCTCATAAAAACCTTTTGGGGTTTGCTTTTCTTTTTTCATGTCAGGAACATCTTGAGAAACTGCAAGTCGCTTC